GATGCTCAGCTGAACGTGAGCCAGCAGCTTGCCCAGGTGGCCAAGAATGCCAACGGCATCTTGGCTTGCATCAGAAATGCTGTTGCCAGCAGGAACAGGGAAGTGACCGTCCCCCAGTGCTGAGCTCTGGTGAGGCTGCACCTCCAGTACTGTGTTCAGTTTCGGTCCCCTCATTGCAAGAAAGACATTGAGGCACTGGAAAGACATTGGGGCACTTCAAAGAAGGTCAACAATGCCAGAGAGGGGTCTGTAGCACAGGCCTTAAGAGGATCAGCTGAAGGAGCTGGGATTGTTCAGTTTGGAGAAGAGGAGGCTCAGGGGAGACATTATTGGTCTCCATAACTACCTGAACGAAGGTTGCAATGAGCTGGGGGTCGGCCTCTTCTGTCACGTAGCTAGTGATAGCTCTAGAGGGAATAGGTCTAGAGGGAATAGCTTCAAGCTGCACCAGGGGAGATTCAGGCTGGACATTAGGCAATACTAGTTTTCTGAAAGAGCGGTCAGGCACTGGAATGGGCAGCCAAGGGAGGTGGTGGACTCACCGACCCTGGAGCTGTTCAAGGAATGCTTGGGTTTTGTGCTGAGGGGCATAGTTTAATGAGAACTATTGGTGATAGGTGGATGGTTGGACTGGATGATCTTGTAGGTCTTGGTGTTTCTGTGGTTCTGTGAAGTTCTCTGTAATGATTATCCTTTTTCTTTTGGCATGAAGATTATGTGTGTAGAGCTCGTTGTATTGGATTTTATTGGGTATTTATCATGTCAATAGGTAATTATACCTGAACTTAATGGAAAGGTAGGGTAGTGAAAGGTCACAGTTGTGTGGAACTAATTTTATTTTCCTACCATGAAAAAGCGAACATCTGCTTATTTTCTTTTAAAGTGTGTGAACTGTAAAAAACAAACAGCAACTACAAAGAAAACCAACAAAGAAAAAACATGCAACAGTGATTTGCACGTCGATCACCTTGGGTAAGTGTGCACTACTTTATGTCGTGGTTTTGTTTTTACTTCTGTAGTCCTTACAGTTATAGAATTTCCAAGTATAAATTCAATGTCCAATTGTGATATATTTTTCCATATTTGATTTAATCTTGGCAAGAAATGTTGCAATGTCAGCCTGTTTTCCACGGATTTTGTTATTTTATTTCCTCATCCTATCTGAAATACTGATGTGAGGAAAAACAGGAATGGCAAATGGGTGGCTACAAATTGAGATTTCTGGTTTGTGATCTGCTGATCTGTATAGGACCGGAGTGAAGTAGTAAATCCTTTAAATGATCTCTTAATGTTACAAATAATAAAGTCCTACCCTGCTATTTGGAATATGATCTCAGGACACGCTCTCAGAGAGTGATCTTGGCAGGGAAATGGTTGATCCCTGAGGTCCCTTGCACCCATTGCCGAGGGTCCCCAGAATCTTCAGCTATTCTGAGATTTTCAAAATGGAATGGAAACTTTTTGTCTTTGTTCAGTAGCAATGGTTTTTGTTTTATCCCAGTTAGTTTTTTCCATAAATTGCAGAACATACGATCTGGAAAACCTAATAACTTTCTGTGGTTTTTTTAAATTATTATTATTTTTTTAATTTTTTTTTACAGTAAGTACAATTTTTTTTCCTGTGGTTTTGTGTTTTCCTTTTTACAGTACATGTGGAACAATTTTTGCCATTAAGAATTTTTGAGATAAATACTTTCTTGCCTATAGAGCTAATTGGTTTTAATTTTAAATAATCAGAAGGTATCGTCTTTGTTGCAGCTAGGAAGGAATTTCTTTTTTTCCGGTGTCCAGTATGAGGCCATGTTTTGGTTCTAGAAGAAAAACAATGTTGATAACATGCTAATGTTTTTAGTTGCAGCTGTCCAGTGTTGTTCAGAGCCAATACCAGTCTCAGCAAAGCATCCACGGAGCTGGGAGTGAATGGGGTAGCTGACTTAAAGTAGCCAAAAGGTATTCCATAGCACGTGACGTCACATGGAAAGAATTTTGAAGTTCATGAGTTATGAGTTCATTTTGCTCTCTTTCATTCATTGGGGAGCTAGCTGAGCATCACTTGGGTGGTAGTGGTAGCGGTAGTGGCAATTGCTTGCACATTACTTGCTATCTATGTTTATATGTATACATGTGTGTATATATATTCATACCTGTTAATCTTTTCTCTATCATCTCAGTACAAAGTTTTATCTCTACCCATGTGTGGTGGAAATGCTAAGTCAGGGCCTGAGGCAGTGATTGAGCACCTGTTGGGAAGACAGGGCCAACCCAGGGGAGCTCAGGTGCATGCAATGTTTCTGAGTAAGCAGAAGGGGTGGAGCCAGGATCCACCCCTTCCCAGACCTCATTTAAGGTTTGGCAGTGCAGGCAAGGGCATCTCTTGCTGGAGATCCCTACCTACCTGAGGCTGTTTGAAGGTAAGCAGATCTTTCCCTTTATTTCTGCATCTGTGGCTGCTTCATCAGGGCTCATCCTCATTTGCTTCAGCCAAAAACTTTGTCACTCTGCTATTGTTGCAGAACTTTCCATCCTGTAATAGCATTACACTATGAGTTCTACTTCACTTTCTTGTTTTTTTTTGCAGTTCTTTCCCCCATTCCTCTGGGAAGGTGGGGGATAGAGTGCTTAGTCACCAGTGGGGTTAAACCACAGCTGGTATGCCTCGCGGTATTTGCAGAAGGGTGTGTTAGTGGTCCTAGAAGCAACTCTTAAAAATAGGGAATATTGACTGTGGAAGTTGGTGAATCTACCAGGCGATTACACTGACTCTGACTTAGTTACCATCACAGCAAAGGCGTGTTCAGCACGATGGCTGTTCAGAAAACACATTTAGAGAAAGGACTGCACAGAACTGTCGCAGTACCTTAAACTTTTTCTTTAAAGACAGGAGGTTTACTTTGGAAAATCTCCTTCAGTTGTTTGCAACTAAAATGATGGAAGAAGCTTTTGGGTTTCTGTGGTCTGTAACGGTTGCATCAGGTGGCACGAAGCAGCATCAGAACTCAAAGATGCCTTCTCTCGAGATTGTGGAGTGTTTGAACTTGGATGTAAGGAAGGAGAGTCTCATATTTTGTTGCAAGGAAACAGTTACTAATGTAGCAATTATGATTAATTAAACACAGGTACTTCGTAGGCATAACAGTTAAGAACACGTTCCTAAGTAACGTATTGGCAAGGAAACTCTTTAGAAATGGCAGCTGGGTATTTTGAAAGTGAATCATATATAAAATTCAGTAATGTGATTGCAGAGAAACTTGTCAGCAGAAGCTCAAGAAAAGGAGTCTGAATCTATTAATGTTTACCCTAACAGTAGTAGGCACACCTGAACACACAGAGGAAAAAAAGCACATAGAGAAACCATGATGGAAAGTAGTGTTAAATCCCAGTAATGTGGAAATACAGGGACAGAAATTAAAGCACTCCTAATACAATACTCTGCAAGCCTAGTGTATCCTATTAGCCTAGTTTAATCCAAGTTGAGTTCTTCAGCCTTACTGGGAAATAGAAAAAAGTAGAACAACTGGCCCCAAAAAAACAGCTCTGTCAGACACACTACCACAGTTCTATGAAGTTTAATATGGCATAAGCGTAATATTAGAACTTTTAATGATCATGGAAACAGGAGAAAACATAATAGTCTGCATTTTTGGACAAGTCCATTAAATGCAAGAAATTTTCTCAATAGAAATGCAGTATTTATTTCCTTTTGTAACCTGGATTTTACACAGCAAACATCACAGCAGCTAGAGTTCAACAGTAGAATATAACATTCTTACTCCTAAAAGTATTCCCCATATGTTAAAAATAAATTCATTCAACTTACATCATCATTATTGCTGTTACGCTAAACAGTAAGCATGCATCCCTGTTTTCTTAAACATTGCGTGACTTGTCACAGAACTATGGAATTGTTACAATTGAAAGGGGACCCACAGAGGTCATCTCCCCCCTTTTCCCCCCCATTTAACAGGGACAGTCACAGCTATCCCCTTTAACACTCTGGCATCTGCATTCTCCAGCCCAAGACACAAAGAAATAGTTTAATGCATACAGTAGTTTTTGTCATTCACAAAAAAAAAAAAAAAGACAACAATCATTGAAAATTGTTGTGACTGAAATAACTTCTTCTTGCATTCACTCCATCTGCTGAGCAGCGCAGTTTCATGCCATCACTGTTTCTAGTCCATGCTTCCCAAGGGCTTGTGCTTCAGGAGTTGAGTTCTGTGGAAAGATAGCAAGCTGTGACAGCTACACAACTAGAGTAACTGTGGTTTTAGGGGGAAGACCAATCAGAAACCCAACAGGTTCAAGTACTTAACAATACAACTGTTTTCTGTAGTAGGCTGTGTAAGTAGCAATTACAATTACAGTTGAGAAAGAAAGACCTGCAGCACTAGGCATAGAAGGAAGGCTCTATCTGCTGTTGTAGCTTTAGGAAATCAGAAAGTAATTAAAGGAGTAGACAGGAACTGTCAGCTGTAGCACAAATTTATCACCTACCTTTGTTTTTAAGGGGATATAACAGGGAGAAAACCTCTACTCATGCAATTATCTACTTAAGTGCTGAGCAACACCAGCCCTTTTTCACGTAACACAGTGAAAGAAGCCCCTGAGATGACAGTCATAGCACTTCCTTTTCCCAGAAAAGGAATCCTGAAGTTATCTGATCCGTCAGCCTTGACATCAGATACCTCTTCAGCAGCTGATGAAGTTGCTCAGGGCTTCAGTCTGCTGAAATTCCAGTCTCCCCAGGTAACCCCATAGCTTTCTCCCTGTCCCACAACCAGACAGCACAGGGGGAGGTGAGAAAATAACACCTGCTGTACTGGGCTCTGCTTTTTCCTTTACCAAGCTTCTTGAGGTTCCCCCAGCTTGGCATCAAGTTCCTTTTAAATGGCAGCTTCACGCTCTGCTAGTCCAACTGTTATGGCTTTATGTGCTGCAGGCTATTTCGAGAGACTGAGGGGCACTGGCAAAATTAGAACACAGTAGCATGAAGTGTCCAAGGTGACTGAACCAGAGTAGTGGTCTTATGCAGTCAGAATGGAAAAGGGAGCATTGCTTTTTGTACGCCATTGCTACAGTAAAGCGAGCATAGGGTGGCTGAAGCAGCAGCTCTTGGGCAAAAGCCGCATTTAAATATGATTGCAGAAGAGGCCGCCGCTCAAACCGCCAGCAAAGCAAAGAGCGCTTACCTAGAACTGGCAGAGCAGCAGCAGCGAGCCGCTTCCAAACCGCAGGCTGGGTCTGGGGTATTTCCTGCCCTAGAGGCATAGGACTGGCTCCCCTCGAGCAGAAACAATAAGAGAACAGCAAATAGTCTCCTGGGGGACGCAGTAAAGAACGCAGTAAAGAAAAGAACCGGAGCATTAACTCAGCTACTTGCCTTTTTTTTTTTTAATCGCCCGCAGGCACGAATTTAAAAAGAAGTTTACTTGCAGAGGGAAAGGTCATTTCCTTCTCTTTACCAGCCCACAGTAAGACACATCTTACAGTCAGGTAAGATACTTTTAGTTAGAGATAATTTTAGTTAGTTTTCTAGTAAATCCATTTTTCTTCAACTGTAATTCTAAGCTAACCAATAGTCTTACATTCAGAAATAGTGGGAAGTTTACCGGTAATCCCATGGAAAAACTACCTTACATAGAATGATTACAGCAGAGGAACTGCACTTACTCTGCTTTCAGAGGTGTTCTTGTGCTTGCTCAAAGACACCTGCAGATGAATTTTCAATTTTTAATTTTTAATTTTCTGTGAAATTTTTTAATTTTCACAGAACCCTTCTAAGAAAGCCATGTGTTTTGCAAGCATTTTTATTTTGTTTTAATGCATTAGTCGGACTTATCAGGGCTTTGAGCATTGGGTTTCAAATACATAAAGCCATAGAGCAGCAAACTTAAACTAACTTTAAAGCACTACTTTCAGTTCCTCCCAGAAGCAGCCACCACCATCCAGGAGCCACCACCAGCACTCAGGTATCCCCGCTCCCATCAGGGGGGGCCCCCAGAGGCCAGGGGGGTGAGGGAGGGGGGGAGGCGGGAGGGAGGCCCCGAGGGGCAGGGAGCAGGGGGAAGAAGGGGGGAGGAGGGAGGGCGGCCCCGGGGGGCAGGGAGGGAGGAGGGAGGGCGGCCCCGGGGGGGGGGGGGGAGGGAGGGGGGGGGGCGGGGGGGGGGGGGGGGGCGGGCCGCCACATGACGAAACCCACCCCCCCTCCAAAAAAAAAAAAATATATCTCTTTAGAGATAGTGCAAATTTCGCGGTCTAGCAAACAAAAAAAATCGAAAACCACCCCCCCAAACAGTCAGTTACCCCACCACAAAGCACAGCCAAAACTAGAATGACCACAGGGCAAACGAGACTACAAAAGAAAGAAACCAAGATAACTACCAAAAACACTAAGACGATCACAAGACAAAAAAAACAGAACCAGAAACCAAGATAACTACAAAATACAATCTTAACAGAAAACAAGACAACTACCAAAAACACCAAAACTAAGATGATCACAAGACAAAAAAAACAGAACCAGAAACCAGGACAGCAAAAAAAAAAAAAAACCAAGATGCAAGACAACACCAAAACTAAAAATCACAAGACAAAAAAAACCAAGACAACTACCACAAAGCACAGCCCAAAAACACCAAAACTAAGATCACCACAATACAACCTCAACAGAAAACAAGACAGCCAAAAAAACCCAAAAAACACTAAGACACAACTATCACAGCCCCAAAAAAACCCACAAAATACAATCTCTCCAGCAAACAAGACAGCCAAAAAAAAACCAACCAAGATGCCAAGACACAACTACCGCAAAGCACAGCCCCCCCAAAAAAAACAAGATGACCACAAGCTCAACAGCAAAGACAGAAAAAAAACCAAAACCAAAACTAAGATGACTGCAAAATACAATCTCTCCAGCAAACGAGACAGACAAAAAAAAAAAAAAAGCCGCCACAAGCCAATACCAAGATACCGATACAATCTCTCCACCTACAGTGAACGAGATGACTACCGCAATGCTGATGCACCAATACAATCCATCTTTCGCTATGCTGCTAACTTACAACGCCTTACTAAAACAAGGCGCTCCTTCCTCCACCGCATCAAAACAAACAGCTTTCATTTAACATTGCTTCACTTAAGAAAAACACTGAAAAAATAGACCAAAAGCGTAACGCTTACTTGACAGCCTGGTCCAACCGGAGGCGCTGCGACGCTGATGGAGCGGGACGCCCGTTACCGTACTTGGGCTGAAAGAAAACAAACACCAATCGGTAAGAGACGCCGCAACTCCAGCGAGCTGCTCTAAGATATTCTCCACCCCAAAAAACCTAACCGAGACGAGTCCGTGACATCTCAGTCTAGAAATAACTGTACTAACAAACCCGTCCCACGAAGAGCAAGCTGCCTAGCTAGCCGAGCAAAAGGTAGCTCGCCTTCCTGTGGGGAATGTATTACTCGCCGGTATCAGCCTCCAACAGCCCCTTCGTGCGTTTAAGGAGCGCCAAGCAAACCCGCTACAAAACAAACGACTGACTCACCAGTTGCTTGCGAGTCAGGACGCGCACCGAGCGCGGGAACGGCGGTTTCAGCCACGACTGTAACAAAACAAAAACAAGTTCGCAGGGCTCGACGGGGACCCAGGAAAGGTCACAATAGTCTCGCAGCTACCTCTCCTTCAGGGCGGCCGCCGGTCGCTCCCTGCTCGCTAACGTGCCTCGCGGCTCTTCAACGAGTTCCGCGAGGGCAGGGCTGGTGGCCTTCCTCAACGTCGTCAACTGCACCGCAACCTGCAAATCACAGAGACGGCTCAGGGATGCAGGGCCCCCGAGAGGCCACCGGAGAAGACGCAGCAGTCTGGCACCCGGGCCCTGAACTCCCACCGTAAGGGCAGTCGCGCTACGCACGCTGTGCTCGCCGTGCTTCCCGATTCGTCAACCCCGTGCCTCCACGAGGAGCGCGCTATCGGGGCTGCGAAGGAAGCGCAACGCCGCACAGCCCACCTGCGCACCCCCGACCGCAAGAGCCGAGTCTGTCTTCCGACGCCCGGCTTACGACTCCATCCCGAGGGCGCTCCGCGCTCGCCTCGCTCTCCGGGTCCATCTGCGCTTTAACGCCACCGGCATCCTCCCGCTGGCCCCAAACCTGCGGAAAGACAACCGCCGCGAACGGCATCCCGAAGGAGGGCGGCGCCGGCAGCCCTGAGGCCGGGTGGCTCCAGTTCCTGGGCGCCTGCCTTCTCTTTGTGAAGGAGACTACTCACAGCGAGAATCGGCCACCGTCTCGCGCCCTCTCCGGGGCTGATCCTTGCTTCTGGAGGTCTTGCTGCAGCCCGCCCCCGGCAGGAGGAGAAGATAACAGGAGAAAAAACAAACGAACTCGTTTGTAAGCAGCCCTTGTACGGCTTCTCATTCCCAGCAGACTGAGAGCTGGACCAAGCAGCGCTGCCCCTTCCCAGTCACCTTCGTCGCTCAGAGTAGGAAGTAGCCTGAAAACACCCACTAACCCCCCCACAGCCTTCCTCCCAAGGAGGAAAGTGGGAGCAGAGCAGAAGCACCGTGGAGACTTCAATAAAAGCAAAAGGAGCCCACCAGTGGCCCTGCATTACCTCCAAAGCAGGCAGGATGTGAGCACATAAGCAGCCACGTGCACTAGCTGGAGGGAAGAAAAAAAAGAAAAAAAGGAAAAGCAGAACCATAATATTATGACAAACTCATGCTGGCTAAAAAAAAAAAAAAAAAAAAAAAAAAAAAAACACACACACACACACAAACAACCACAAAAACACACACACGCGCAAGGTCAGGTCCTGGCAGCACCGTCCCTGTGCAAGCCTTGGAAAAGCAGGGTAACTGCCTGGCAGCTTCTTGCTAGCGACAGGGAGCTCCGGGAGAAACCGGCAGAGGCTAAAAAGCTTTGGCCGGGTCCTGCCCCGCCCAGACCATCCCAGCCTCACAGCACCTGGAGGTCATTTCTTCATTAGCACTGATGGGCCTCGTTAGGGCCAAGCAGGGAGCATCCAGGCAAGGATGTCCCCTCGGGCATCTAGGCTTGCAGCAGGATGGATGTCTTCTTCCTGTGAAGAATACGGTGGGAAAAAAAGAAAAGAAAGTGAAGGAGGAATGATTCAGGATGAAGCTGCTGCCAGCAGACGGGGCTGGGGCACCCGCATCGCACCCTTGGGGTGACTCCGAGCACCCTAAAGCTGTGTTTGGCCTCAGGGAGCTGAGCAGCAGCCCTGTGCTGATCCACCCCCCCCCCCCAAAAAAAAAAAAAAACCGCAGTGGGAGCTGAACAGCAGCGCCATGCTAAAGCTGAGCAGCAGGGGGAACCCGACAGTTGTCCCTCGTCGGCCCCGGACGAGCGAGGTGGGATCCCGGCAGCCTTCGCCGGAGGCTCGAAAAATCCCAGTGTATGTCATCCTCTGGCGCCAGCCCTCCCGCTGGAGGTGAGAGCGCGTGCCCCTGACCCCCGACACTCACAGTCTGCGTAGTTTCTCTGGTGTCGGAGCTGCTCACGAGCTTCCATCGATCCTTGCTGCAAGAGCCCTGACTGCATTCTCACCCTGCAACAAGGAAGAAAAACAAAACAGAAGCTTGAAGTAAAAATCTCGAGATTAAAACCACACAATCAACCTGAACAAGAACCCACAAGAACAGCATCTTGCAACCCTTCTTACCTACAGCAGGACCAGGACTGGGCTGGAGGGCACAGCCTCATCCTGATCGCCTCTCCATCGAGGCGAGTAGCAGGAACTGCAGTGCCCACAAACCTCAGGCTGGTGCTTTGCCTCAAGAAATGAAGCAGCAATCCTGTGCCAACCCCCCAAACCAAGAAGAAGTAGAAACCAGACAAGAGTACCACAATGACTCCCAGAAAGAAAGGAGAACCCAGCTGTAGTTTCAAGGCAGGACCCTCCTTCCTCCCCCCCCCCCCCCAAAAAAAAGGGCAGGGGGGGGGCACAGCAGCCTCTTGCAGCACACAGAGAGCCACAAAAGCACCCCCTATGGCTCCCAGTTGCCTCCAGAGGGGTTTAAGAGGCTTTCAGGCAGGCCCTGCCCACAGCTCCAAACAAGGCGCAGCTGTGCCCTGGCAGCCCGGCCCGGCGGCACCTGGGAGTCATTGCTTCATTAGCACAGGTGGGCCTCGTTAGGGCCAGCCTGGGATACTGACAGCATCTGCAGAACCTTTGAGTTTTAGCTCATCCAAACAATGATGTCTCCATACATCTGCAAGCCTAGATGTTTATGCTTTGTCACTTTGCCGTGAGGGATGTGGTGGCAGAGTTGGGATGAAGGGTGCGGGGTTAAGGATGAAGGATACGGGGCGCTCCTGTGCAGAGCCGGGAGGTGGACTCGATGATCCTTGTGGGGTCCCTTTCAACTCGTGATATTCTCAGTGTTTCCAATAACCCGTTCTTAATACCCATAAACTGTCCTCATCATCTCAGCTTGTCAGCATCTCTGTGGAAATTTTAATTTCATTGTTTTTCATACGTGCGTTTGTTTATCCAATAAAACCTCCACAATAGAATTTTGTCTTTGAAAACTGCATGTCAGCCTCTGTGTTATAGGTAGGACTCGGAATCACTGGCAGAAAACCATTTCAGTTTCTTCTTTTAAAACTTACTTAGCCGGAATAAACCCAGACTATCAAGGATGACATTTTTGATGATGATATTTAGAGAAACACCAGGAGAATAGCCCTGATAAAATGGAGACAATTTGTCACAGACACAGGCACACATCTGTATTAAACAGAAAACGATGCGTGGATTTGCCGATACGATTTATCGTCTCCTGTTATCATTATAGAAGTGACAACACCTTTGCAAACATTTCCTACTCGTATGCACACAGCTCAGCGTTCTTCCGTGAGCCTTGCATTTTGAGCACTGCAGCCTCAATTTTTAGGTGGACGTCATTCAAATGAAGAGGAACTGAGAACTGACATGGCTGCTGCAGCCACCCCCTCTTGCCCCTGGCTGCGGCGGTGCTGTTGCAGAGAATAAAGGGACTCTATGCCACTTATGGATCGGGCAGGAAAAGCGGCTGTTTCAGTTGGTTTGCAGGTGTTGCGTGCTGCCAGCAGGCCACAAAGTGTCTGTAAAACAACACGTGGGGTAGGTGGAAGTGCATGGTATTGTGACTGTCCTTTTCTATCCTATTCTAAGCTGCTAAGCAATGTGACCCATTGATACCGATCACCAACTAAGTCGTGTAGTTTCAGGCTGAAAATCAGCAGGTAAAATGATGCGACTGTTCTCCCTAGCCCCTCGGCTACTTCTGCTCTCTCAGCTCTTGGAAATGATGGTCAGTTAGTGTCACTTAAACACGTGTACGTTCCAGGTGTGCAGCCAGAACATTATTGTGTGGATCGGGCCTGTGATTGAGGTGCAAAGCAAGAAATAATTGCAAACTTGTGCTGAGATGACGCGGGATGTAGCAGCTGCATCTCAGATGCTTCCGTCTTGTTCAACCTCCCCTCGCATGGCACTTGCTAAATTGAGGCACTGTTTTTGTCTGTTCTCAAGTATGAAAGAAGCCCACGCTCCAAATGCTGCGTGAAGTGCACCCAGCTTTCCAGATCGCCACCGGCTTTTTGGTGTATTTATTCAAGGACAAAAATACCAAAAGCTTACAGACTAGGTAGAAGTATAAATGAAAAAAAAAATATATGACTAACATTGAGGGTATGGCACCCCACATGTTTTCCGGTTTTGTGTGGCACACGTCACCTTAGAGCATTGGCTTTTTCAGACAGCAGAGTGGAAGGGCTTGCTTGGTCAGCAGTGCCTTCTGAAAGGATGGATATTTGGGAAATGAATGAGCTTTCTCGATTCAAGTAATTCAGATCCTGTTCGTGCCAACTCGAGGCAGCAAGACTCATTATGTTTCAAAAAAGTAATTTTTTTCTTTACTCAAACTGTTTATTTCACTACAAAAAAAATCATCGTTCACTGATTTATAGTAAAAGAAAATGCTTCTGTTCGTAGTCAGAACTATCTGTTACTTGTGAAAAACGAAAACTGGAGCACATGCTATAACTGTTACACAAAGAATTAGCAGAAGCGAGCAATGGCTGGCTTAGTGTCATCGAGATTTGCTGCAAAGATCAGAGGCTGCTCTCAGAGTACTAATGTATTGATTATGGTCAATTTTTCCCCCCAAAATTTATTTGCCAGATATCTGACACCGCATTTGAAGCCATCTCGTTTCCAAAGCTACTGAGCAAATTCAGATTTCCCCAACTCAGGGAGCTCTGATTTTAGATGCCCAAACTGCGAAGCTAAGGATGTAATTAGACAAGTTCTTGGTTGTGAGTAGTGTAAGTGACTTGAAAAGAGATGCTTGTTTAAATGAAGTTAAAGATGCACCTTATTACTCACTGGAACATGGAATGGGCTTCTAAAGCTATGAGCTAACGTGTTTGTTCCTCCTCCTTGTTCCTGACATTAATAATTAAATAAGAAAAAGAAACGATTAATACAACTTCTAATAATTTTTTATTCCATTTCAGTGAACCAACACACGCCTTTGTGAAACGAGAAGCAGCAGTTAATACTGAACATTATTATGTGCCATCTAGTCTAACGTGGCAACAGAGAAGCATGTGAGATTCTTTGGTGTTGCTTTCGCTATTTGAAGATTGATTTATTCTGCGACGTCTCTGAAAGAAATATGTCTGATATTGCATATAATTTTCAGTTTTATCACTCTACTGCTGTCTCATGTGACATTCTGGTCTACAGCAGTTAAAGAACACAGTAATATTGACTAGCTGCAGAAGCAATAGTAAAAATTGTACATGACATTAGAGGTACAGAAATGAAATGCACACATCTCAAACCCGTTCGTTTTCTGAAACACACGGTTGGCATCAGCACATGTGCAAGAGATCGCTGGCATGTCATCTTGCACTCCAAGCAAAACCCTGGTTACAGAGGAGTTTGTTCACTGTTGCTTTAGAGCTTACATTATTCATCCTGTTGGAAATCACAGCAGTGTTCCCCTTACAGTCTTACCAGTACAATTATATGAACGCGAGAGTGCAAAATCTTCTCAGAGGCCTGTTTTTGTATCTTGGAACACTAAATGCCTTGGTTACTGTTATTTAGAGTTAATGACAACAGCAAAAGTCAGGTGTAAGACTTGGAAGGCCAGCAAGTATGTTTGCCTTCTAGCATCTGGCTCACTAAGAAGGGAGTCACTGCTGAAGATATTAAATACAATAAGTTAGGTCACTGGCTATGTAGTTACATAGGAAAAACAGATGATAATGAACCAGAGAGGACAAAAGCAGCAGAAAATAATCAGAGATGGCAGAACTCTACGTTCGACCGAGGATGAAGCCTCCCATGTTTTTCAGGAACGGAGTCTTTAATGAACATTCTGTTACACTCTGGCTCAAACCGCACGCTTGGATAGCAGGCCGGCTTCAGAAAGTGCAGGTGGGCAAATCCCACGCCAGTCACCATGCCGTGCCACCTGCTAGCTGAGCTGGTCCTCAGTGTAGGAATTATCTTCAGAACAGTGAGCCGATTGCGGGTGATTCTGTCCTGATGCTTGGTTCTGGAGGAAAACCTGTGCCCGAGGAACTTCTGCTTTCTCCCAAGATATCCTGCTTTGTAAAGAACAGTGTAGCTCAATTTGTCTACATTTGAAGTTCAGAAACCAAAAGGGAGGGAGAGGAGAACATCTTTTAATAAGGGAAAATGAATAACTAAAGAAAGAATGTATTTAGGTATAATATGTGAGGAGTATCTTGCAGTCTGAGCTGTAACATAAAAATTACACAAAATGCATAAAACACAAAACAAACAATAACCACCATTAAAAGTGCAACTGCAGGTCCTGTAACAAACGATACAGTTTTCTGAAGCTATCTTCCAGGGTGACGTCTTACCCACAAGAAGGCTTTCGGAATGGGACCTGCAGAAGACATCCATCTGTGAGGTTTTAGAAGAAACTCTGCTGAAGAAACAAGCGACACATAGCGGTTAAGGCTTTATTCTCGTGAATAAATTATCAAGCCAGCTGTGGGTATTCATTCTTTTAATCACAGATTTGTTAGGGTTCATACACATTTTAATCCGCAATGAAAATCTCAACGTGCTCTAAGTGCTGCCAGAGGTGAAATTATATGTTTTGGCATCTAGCACCTTGCATTTTGACATTCAGGTGATTACGCTACCTCTGAGGGAAAATCCAAAATTTTATCATTGAAGTTTATAAGCGAGCGATCTCCTCCCAGCTACGTCATCAGTCCACGTAATTATGTTTATATAAGAAATTTGAATAAAAGATAGTTTGATCTTCTAGCCATATTACCTCTGGGGCTGGTGGAAAGCTGAGGTCTCGTAGTGCTTACTGTCGCCTCCAGAAGAGAGCTGCCACATGCAGGTAGCGCAAAAATTCAGCGGCTACCACTATTTCAGTTCAGTTGTTTTTCCTCCTGCTGGTATCTGTGGTTGCAGATCAAGGTTCAGGGCCTCATGAAGCAGGCAGCCGACTCCGCTAATCCCACTTGATCCTGCTGCCAGATCCTCCAGTGCTGGATCTGAAAGAAAGCTTTTTTTCTGTGCCTGAACTAATCTAGACAAAGACAAATACGAAAGCTGCCTAGTGGCTACCATATAAACATACAAAAAGCCTGATGACCTAATGTACAAGTATAACTAAGGAGACAAGATGCCAAGAAAACAACTGCCAGAAAGTTTCCCTTCGATGCACTTATGATAGAAATTTCTCAACAGCCTCGAGGAACTCTGTAGATGAGCTAAGCCCTTCCAAATCCAGCAGATTGTTCTTTTTGTCACAGAAGTGGAATAATTCAGTCTCTTCCTCTTCAGGTTCCTCTTGAAATAGGTTTGTCTCTGAGGTAGGAATGATAATGATTCGAGGGACTGTATTGCTAACGATAGAGTCCAAGCCTCCATTATTATGACTTTCTTGAGTTTCCATCTGCGAGGTGTCTGAGCCTGCTTCTAGGCTGATGCTGCCGCTGTTCAAACCGACAGGCAGAGAGGCTGCTCGGAGGGAGCTGGTCACGAGCGCTACGGGGGAGCTGAGGAAGACTGACGGCCCCAGAACCTTCTCCAGGCAGCTGGATGACAGCGAAACCTAGAGCAGAGGGAAAAGCATCAGTGTCACTGCAAATCAGTACTTGGAATATTCAGTGCCGCTACTCACTACATCAGACGCTCATCCTATTTTCTAAATGGTTGAATCACTGACTAGAAAGGAGGAAAATCACAATGCGTTACCATCTACAGCTTGGAAAGCAAAATGTTAAATGAAGCAAAAGAAAATGTGATCAAACACTGGCAAAGACCGACAAGAAAAGAAAACCCCGGTCCCCCTTTACCTCTCTTTAGCCAGCACACTGCCGTTATTGCCAGCCATTCTGCATAACATATTGCGCTGCAATCTCGTTGCGCAGAGAAAAAAAAAAACACAACAAAAAACAAACAGAGAAGATGCATCTGTTTTCACTCAATTTTTGTGGTTTTGCAAGGAAAAGAAGGATCAGCCTTTTCTGTGTGTGTTTCTCTGTCAAGCTGGGTGTGAGTTTAAATACCGACACGTACTGCTGTACCATGCTCTACTCTACAGGCACTAATCCTTCACAAATCTCTGCCGATAATGATTTCTTTCCCTGCTGTACCTTCCCCAGTGCAGAGAATAACGATGTGCTAAAAAACAGTGGTTTCAGTAAACCTGACAGAGAAGAAATTCCTTTTATTTCAAATTGAGACTGTGGAAGAATGAAAGAATAATTTAAAATCCCTCCAGTCTCTGCTGTTTTTAACTGCTTGTGGCTTAGTGGGCATGACAGCACATTCACTAGTTTTCCTCTAGACAGGACTTTGCTAGTTGAGCATTGGGATGACCAGCGTGGGCTTGGTTGCAACTCCTGCTGGTTACAGAGTGGCAAGGAGTGAAGAGAGAACAGATCTTGGTGCTTGTTCCTCTGAGCGACAGCCAATCCCTCGCTGCCCTGCGCTGCCCTGCTGGTGGTGGTCATAGCGGTGCCTGCAGACACGCAGCTTTCTCCACAGCTGAGGCGCTTGTTCATGGCGGTGTTTAAAAGACCACCAAACAACATGTGTACGTTCCCTTTAGCCCTGTTGTGAGATGACTTCTCCGAGCAGGTGTGAGCCACCTTTCCTCTGTCACAGACATTTCCGAAGGGCACGCCTGCAGGAGGTCAGTGCTGGCAGCCCTCATTTCACGCTGCGTAGTTCCCTTGGTACGCACGCTGGGTGCACAGAGCACGCTTGACAACTCTCCTTTGAAACCAAGTGTTCCAATCTACCTTATACTTACAACAGATGCCTGCATTTCGGTGCTTGCAAAAAGGCCTCCTCACAGCCGTGTTAGGTTTCCCAGTGTCAGCTGACAGGATGTCTGCTACCATTCTAATTGCAATTAGCCGTGGGGCTGCTTGTAACTTTGTGACAGAAAAGGATCCCACGTGTTTCTATGCTTTCTATGCCCCAGACCTGGAACAGCGAATAGTGTTTTACTTACGCTTGAGGGATGTTTTTTCTTTCTTTGTGCTTTTGTTGTTGTTTTTTTGGTAACTCAGCTGCTAACGTGCATTAAAGAATGACTTCAGTCCACGAAGAGTTTAGAGTTACATGAATTCCTTAGGTGCTGATGAGATGGTCTTATTGAAGAAAAAGTTTAAGATGCGTTTCATAAAACACGCCTCTTGTTTTCCCTGTTTTCTCTATGCCTTCAACAGAATTGGGCTGCTGATGCAGGGCAAGAGAGGTATGCAGGACTTCTGAGTCTGTGTCGCTTGCCACCACAACTGAAGCGGAGGCCTAGCACAATCCTTTCACAGCAAGAAGCTATCCTGCGGCAAGAACAAAAAACTGGACACTCCATCCTAAAGTCAGTTTAGGTCAATATTGCCAAAAACGAGTAATTAGCAGCCATGGTGTAGATGGTCCATGAGACTTGCGTTTGGTCTCTTCAGTAATTATTATCCCCAGAGAATAAAAGATGTGCTGAGGCTGCGGTAATTCATCCTATCCCTTGACTTGCGAGGAGTGAGACCTGAAAGCTTTACCTCAGCCTGTCTCACCTGTGGGAAATTTTTAACCAGAACAGAGAAAGGAAGAGGAAGTGAAGAGGGTCGGCAGAATGAGGTTGCTCCTGCTGCCTGCGTAGCACAAGTTTTCACAAAGATGTCAGTTGTGCAGAGTAGAAGCACTTATCTTTCATAGGATCAGGACTTGGCTTAACGTAACAGCTCTGCCACTCCTCCCTGAGAATGAAAAATGATATGAGGTGCCTGTGCTTTTGCAACGGCACCATCCCTGCTGCACTTCCTACGTTGCTGTTCTCAATCGATGCTACTCACAACGACCGCAGGAAAGGACTGAGGTTTCCCAGGACTTGATCTCAAGGAGGCAGAGGAAGGAAGACAGGGCAGATGCATGCAGGAACCGTGCCGTCAAATGGTTGGAAATTTCTGGAATAGGTTCTGCTTTAAGCTATGCTGTCTCTGCTGCACCGATCTCTATGCCTGAGCTGCTCCGTGAAAAAGCAGGTGGCACCGTGACCGGTTGTTGGCAGTGTACTGCATGCCCTAATTCTTTCTTGCTGAAAATACAGCACTGACATAGGCTTGATGTTGTACCTCCCTACAAATATTCATCTTGAAACTGGTTGCACAGCAGTTCCAGAAGCTGTCAGGTGACCTACTGCGCCCATCCTTAGCAGTTACGCCGAGAATGGGGAGGGAGCTCCTCGCAGCATAGCCCCAGACCTCAGAGGTTTGGGTAAGTGGTATAATGCATCCACAGAAGATGCTCTGAGTACTCACCATCTCCTCTTTCAGTGAGGGAAGGGTGGCATCTGCCAGACTCTCCCACCCTTAGGGAGAAATGGGAGTTTCTTTCTCGTCTTCCCCCTCAACAAAAATAAAACATTTCAATGTACGCTATAGAAAAACAAAAAAAGGTGGTTTCTATCATGTCAAACTCTGTTTTGGAGGCCTTATATTTTCATGAAAAACGCTTTCACGATGTGATCGTGAGGGTCAGGATAGGAGAAGCCAGAGCTGGGGCAGATGAACATGCAGGGAGACAAAAATTCAGGTTCTTACACAACCCTACGGAATCCTCTTTAATGCGGCTTCAGAGCTGCGAGCTGCCCTTGGCTTTCCAAAAGCAGGCAACGTATTGGTGAAAAAAAATAAAACATTACTAGCATTCTCTTTAGTTAAAATAAATATAATAGCAAGGATGGAGAGGGCATCGGAATCTCTGTAAATATAGCTGCAGATGAAACAAATGGTCATGGAGAATAAATTATTATTTCTCAGATGACATGCTGCAGCAAGCTTAGCTACTACAATGGAAATTTCCCTACCAAAGAATACTTTTTTTCCTTACCTTTCCTTCGTTTTCTTCACTGCAGCTATAGGTCTCTGGAAGCAGGTCTCTCTTCTCCTGTCTCAGGCTTGCTGAGAAGGAATGACTTCGGCGAGGCTGCAGTTTCACATGAGCTGGCTCTACCGGGTCAAGCTCTACGTCGCTCCAATTCTAATAAAAAATAGTGACAGATTTCAGAAATTTACACCTTTTCTCAAACTTTAAGTTCTCAAACTTAAGAAGAAGCCTTATGCTGTACGCTTAGAGACAACAACAGTCACTCTAACACAGGTCTCATACTCCAAACTCTCGTGAGGAGAGATATGATTTTTTATTTTCTCGCTTACCCTGGACTTCTTTCCTGAAGTAAACAAACAAACAAACAAACATACAAACTTTGAAAACAGATTAAATCATCTTTCATCATTTCAACAGTAACTTATTCGTCCTTCTTTTATCTCATTGCTTGTACTGTGATTATAATTGCTTAGCTGGTATCTACAGAGGGGTTCACATTATCTAAACAATTACAGTCAATGTGCTTAACATGCTTTATGGCATTCCACGTGACCCTCGGCTAGTCCAGAACCACGGATGCACGCACGTCTAAACTGCCACTTGTGTATGTCCCAGCTGGATGCCCAAACAC